GAGTAGTACTAGAGAGAGAGATATTGGGCGTAGGCCAGGGATACTTAACTGCAGCGCCGTTGCTCCAGCTTCATCTTCGAGGTACCTGCAGCACAGCGCCATCTTCACAGGTTAGTACCTGACACATGAGAGAGAGAGAGTTCTTCTTCTTCCTCTTCTCAGTCCACCATCTCCTTCTCACCCTCCCGCTATCTGACTTCACTGCATCAGCAGGCTAAGAGAGAGAGAGAGAGCTTGGTGACTTTTGGATCCAGACTCGACATTGGACTTCAGACATATCGAAGAGGGATTATTTGGGATTTGAAATGAGACTTGGTGTTGACGACTTTCCCATCTCCCGCTTCCTCTTCTTCGTCTGATCCCCTCCTCTTCGTCTGTGTATTACTGGACCTGGTGCCTCTTTCCTGTGTATAGCGCCAGGCTCCTTCACACCTTGGGATGGACATGATGCATGTTTGGTCTGCGTTTAAACATTGATTGGGCTAGTCATTTGCATTCTAGCATTCTGCTTCGCTATCTTGTGCTACGTGAATGAGGTCAGTCCCGGTCAGGTCAGGACTTGTATCTAAAGTCTTCCCTGCGCTATAAAAGCACCATTTTGTATGTATCGGAATGCACATTGCTTGTTGAGATTCTACTTGCACTGCATTGTCCATTCAGTCCTTTTTATCACATTGCGGATCCTCGGTTATTATGTACATCGCCCAACTGGGCATGTAACAGTTGGTATCGGAGCTCCGCACGTGAATCAGGACACCCTGATCTGACTCGTGTGCGGAGACTGAGTAGCTGATTAGTCTTGATTGATTGATTAGAGCACACTAGTTAGCCCCCAAAATCACGATTTTGACCTCACTGCTGAAAATCCAAGAAAAAATTCTTTTCTTCTGAGTGGGGATCCAGGCCGCCCGGGTGACCGGCAGAGGCCCGGGGGAGGTCCCGGGCGGCCTGGCCGGGCAGGGCATTCGGTTGGGGGCCGGCCCCGCCATGTGTGTGTATGTGTGTGTGTGTGTGTGTGTGTGTGTGTGTGTGTGTGAGAGAGAGAGAGAGAGAGAGAGAGAGAGAGAGA